ATTCCTGCTTGACGTAACGTTCTGAGCATACCTGAGTGTTTCGCCCCAGAACGTGTTGCTGGGCTGGCCGTTTGCTGGGCTACTTTTGCTGGAAGGCACGGCTTTCTATGAAAGGAACACACGGAGCTGTTGGCAGTCTCCAGAGGGAAAAAATGAATAGCTGCCAGCAGATTGTCTATAAACCATCCCCCGTGAGTTTCCAGGGCTCCCCCTTCATGGACCTGTGTCAGCCTGTCTGCGGTGAGCAACCTAGCTGCTTCATTTGGGGCATGGATTTCTGACTTAGGGAATGCCCTGCAGATACTCCTGTCTCATGCCGGAGATGAGAATGTGTTGGTCCAATTTGTGAGAGCACACAGAACCCGTAACGTTTTCACAGCACCTGTCATCGTGACGTGTAGTGTGGGACTGCCGCTTTCTTTCTCTTTCCTATTTTTGGCACGTAAGGCCTAGAGATTCTGAATTGTGAGTCGAGTCCACAGCAGTACAGCACTTTGTATTTCTCTGAAAAAGCAGGTAAGTATTTCTTGATGATGGGGGGGAATGCAAAGAAAACGAGAAGATGGATCTTACTCCATTTTTCATCTTAATAAAGGCATTTGTAGGCACAACAGCAGCCTCACAGTTAATGAATGACTTTTTAAAGAGAGAACTGGAGAAGGTATTGGTTATCTGTGGGGAAAAACATCAACATGAACGAAGACTCATAAAAAGGAAAATACATGCGCTGTGTGCATCTTTCTCTAGTGACCGGCTTGCTAAAACAACTCTCGATGTATTTTATGCAGTACGCTGAAGTGTAAGTGATGCAGAGGCTCTGCTCTTTTGGGGGTGTATTTCATGAACTGTAAGCAATGGAGAAAATTAAATCAGTAAATCCACACTCGCAAACTGTGACACTGTTTGAAGAAAATGAGTATGTCTAATGGAAACATCCTAACTCAGAGCACATGGAGTAAAGTTCCTTCCGTTTGGTTTTCTTTTCCCAGCAAGCAGAACTTCGGATCTGGGTTAGGGCAGTGTCACTGGATACAGGTGTCCTTTGCGCCTGTTGTGGTTTATAAGTTCTGTGGCCACACCAGTGTGACTCTGAGCCCTGTTTCTTACCCTGAATTGTAGCTGGGCCCTGGTATCTGAAATGGAGCAATCTTGGAATGTGTGGAATTGCTCTCAGTCCTTTCCTTCCTGTCCCTACACCGTGCAGTGTGTAGGCGATCTAAACAGAACACCTAGCTTGGGGCATTTTATGAAACACCCTGTCACTCATCTGATGTCGCATGTCCTAGGGAATTATGCTCCCAGCCTTGGATTCATTCAGGTGGATCTAACAGCGCCCTGGGAGTTCCGTGTTGTCCTGTTTTGGAAAGGCGATGGCTTGAGAGATTGAATGTACAGCTGGAGCCGCGGGGTTTGTCGGTTCTAAGGTTGATTGTCTCCCTGGTCACACACAGATCGTTTCCTGAAGCTGGAGGAATGGGAACACAACTAACGGTGATGGGATCTCTGGGCCTCTCGTCCGGGGAAGAATCGGGAGCTCTCAGTTGTCCGTTGCTTTGTACACACCTAGGAACACGGCCGAGCAGTGTCGTTGCTCGCTTCCGCAGCCTGCGCAGTGGTGTTGGGGAGGAATGGCTTTTGGAGGTGTAACGAATTATTGCATTGAACTCTGCAGATTTACGGAAAAACTTTGAGCAAGACCCTCAAGGGAAGGAGGTTCCTATCGAAGGGATGATCGTCCTCCACTGCCGGCCGCCCGAGGGAGTCCCTGCAGCCGAGGTGAGGCTCCGTGCAGCGTCGCGCTCCTGGGCTGGTGAGAGGTGAGGGGAGAAGCAGAAGGGGTTTAGCTACCGTGTGGTTTTCAAGGCCCAGTGTTGCTTACAGTGTTCTTCTCTCTGACTGCCTTACAGATGTATTTTTTGAATATATACGTTTTTTAAAAGTCTGGCTTTTTATCAGAATGCAGGAACGTTTGCTGAAAAAGGCCTGGTTTTGATGCAGTTTTCAAGTTTTATGCTTACAAACCAAAACCAGATTGTTACTTATTTTCTCCAAAATTGCTTTTCTTGTTAAAAAATAAAACAAAGGAAAAAACCCCAACCCTAAAATATTATGATAAATTGTTGCTGGAGAGAGAAAATCTGCTGCAAATAATAATTTTGGGTTGTTTTGCTTAGCTTTAAATGTGTTTTTGTCAAGAGAGTTGAATCTTAACAGGAGACTAATGGGGACGCCTTAAAATTATGATAGCTAGAGTAGTCTGGGAGGAAGATGTTCTGAGTGGGTTGTGTTTAAAAACCTGCCAAGGAGGCGTTAGAAACAAGGATGATCCGATGGTGGAAGCTGGCATGGCATCACACCGTTCTTACCCATGAAAAACGAGGCTGGTGGTGGTTGTCTGGAGCCCGTGCTGCCATGGCAGGGCTGAGGTCAGGAGTTTAACTCCCGTGTGTAGCTGGGAGAGCTGCACTCGCCTTCAGGCTGCAGCCTAGGCTCTGCCATGGGGCGGGAGCTGAGGAGCAGCCCCGGTGATACTGGGCTGTGTTTCTGATGGCACACTCTGCAGTGTGCTCTTCAGCACCTTTTGATGAGTAAGACAAGTAGTATCACTCAGGAGTTATTTTTGTCCCTTGTCTTCACTCTTGCTGTGGTGTGTTCTAATTGATGGAAAAAAGAAGCAAGGAAAAACAAACTCCAAAGAAATGTGCATCCTTTTGGTGAAGGAGAAGCGTGTTGAGGAGATGCCATTGGAAATAGAGGAGAAATGCAGCAAACTGGGGGGACAAGACACTGAAAATCGGGTAGAAGTGTTAGACCAAGAGGAAAATGAGTTAGAAATAAGCATGGTGAGTAGATGGATTTGTATCCAGGCGTCTGATGTGCCGTACTTCCCCATTCAGATCCCTGCTGCTACGTTCTCCTCAGCTGTGAGAACTGGCTACAGGGGATTGCCAGAATTACTGAAATGTGCATTCTGGGAAGCATACCTGTTTCTGGTACACCTGCTACCTGTTTTGGGGAAAACAAACTACCAAAGGTGTCATGGCCTAAACACCCTGGGATTCGCTGCCCACCCTCTCTGGGGCAGGGGTGGTAACTGCCCCCTGTGGACCTTTTTCTTCCGGACTATGGGTGCTGCTAACCCAGGCTTTCTGAATCCATGTCCCTCCAGATAGCCTGTCTCTGATAGATTTGCTCTCTCTGTAGTTCCACTTTGCGTGTTCCTTTCACCCTGGTTCCCCTCGTTCCACAGAACTAGGCAGACTTTATAGTAAAACAAGTGAGTGTTTATTAGTAAAATGTCCCAAATCAAGTGCTAAGTTACAAGCAAAAGGCAGGAAACAAGCAGTTACAGTCGAATGAAGCATCATGCAGCCACTGCTTGAGTGCAGAATACCTTTCCTAGCTGTGGAAATATATCTGACCTGCAGTCCGTGGGAGCTGGGATCCCCCTTTTCATGGAGGAGCTCTGCCTTGCCAGTGCCTTCCAATTCTGGTCATCTTCCGCCTCTGTCCTTTCCTCTTTCACCCACCATCATTTTCTGTGCCTCGGTGCCCAATATACTCTCTCAAAACATTTCAGGCTCAAGTACTCCTTGTGTCTTGCCTCGCACTGTAAGCTCGCTGAGGGAACGTTCTTGGGTGTGTTAAGGGACGTGGTTCCTTCCTTACGAGCCCGGGGTACGTTTGCCTGCACTGACTGTTCGTCGTCTGAAGAGTCTGACGTACCATGAGAGTCAGTTGGGTTTTAATTCTAAAAATACACCATTCCAAAGTGAGCAAAAGGCTTTCAAGCAAGTAACTATCTATTTTCTTTGAGACCAAAAGGAGCAAATTATGACAGGCACACCTCTACCCAAGTGTGGTTTGATGAACTGATTGTGCACATGTGACACTTTTCCAGTTTCTGAGTTAAACAGCCAAAAATGCTATCTTTGTTGGAATTCAGCCATTTGGGAAAAAAATGGTGATTATCAGTCAGCACTGTTTGAGTTTTACTGAGAATTTTAGAATTATTTGAAGCACACTGCTTTGCACTCAACAATTAAACAGTATATCTGTCTTTTATGAAAGTTAGGAATTATACCCAGTGAAAAACGGACATTTTAATCGCTTCCTACAGATAACAATTGTAGAGTTCTCAGTAAACCCAGATTTACTGATGTTGATTGTAAAATTGTTATTGCTGCGAATAAAGCCTGTAAATCTTAACAGGTCACGTTGGCTTTGGACAGTAAAATGCCACATAAGGGCTCAGGATGCAAGGTGAATTCTACACTCACCAAGGTAGACCGTCTACTGGAAATAGTTCAGTGTCTTTAGAAACCGGGTACGAGATTCTGCTGGGTGATGGCTCTGGTCTGTGGCAGTGAGCTGGAGGTTATAAACTCCCCTGGTGTTTTCCAGTTAAAGGTGACCTGCCCTGTTAAGCGTGCGGGTGGGGAGTAACTGAGACAGCCAGTAAGTCTTGCTCAGTAATTGTTAGGAGGGCACTGAGATGCGTAGAAGGTTTCAAAACCCAGCGCTGGCAGCGAATCCATGGTTCTGATCCAAGAATTTATTTCACTGGAGTTTGGATGAAGCCCTAGATGAAAACATAAGGCTTGAAATATCTACGAACAAAGCAGCTCATCTTCTGTCTCATTAGATGCAGAAGAGATGCTAATTTTGGCACTGTTGGGTTTTGTTTGTTTAATCCATACTCTGCATGGACCTGGAAATGCAAACTGAAAACAAACTGGATAGGAGACTCCAGCGCCTTTTGTGTTACCCTGCCAATATCTGCCTGAATCCCTTGGGAAGATGTTGATGATTCCATCAGTTGCAGAAGTTCAGGAATGAGGTTTTCCCAAAGAGCACACGTTTCTGGGCTTGCCACAGTCACAGGTTAATCTAGCCCTTCATTCCTGGCAGTGGCCCTGAATGATGGCTCCAGTCCGGGCTCTGGTCACGCCGAGCAGCTCGGGAAGAGGCAGACGCTACACTGGCATGAAACTGAAATTCAGCTCAGTTATTTATGTGAGTCTGACCGTTATCAAGAATATAAACCTTCATCTCTGCAGTTGTTTTTCTGCAGCTTAGAGGTGCTGGAGGTCTCTTTAAGGGTCGAAGCATTAAAAGTAAATGTTCTGGATCTACACCGTAGCTTGATCTGAAAAATCCTGTCACTAGTCCTGCAAGGAGCGGAAAGCAGGGATATTTTTTGGGATGGCTGACTTCATAGTTTCCTCAGAATTATCGGGAGGGAGAACCTTTCTTTCCCACTACTCCTTTCCACATTTCTAGTCACTCCTCCAGTATTTTCTGCAAAGTGATTTCAGCCACTGCTAATGGTTCCTGTTTCAGACGGAGCGAGTGGATCTCGGCAGTTCTTGGTAGGCAGAGGAACTCGTTACTAAATATATCAGCATTTCCCAGGCATATTAACGCCATTATGGGCCATCAGTGGCAACCTCTTCCTGTGCACTTGTGCAAGAAGTGTTTAGCTGAGCAGCCGCATTAGTGGTCCTCGTCTGAGAATGCCTGAGCTGTCATCGCAGTCAGCGGTTTTGCCAGTGGTGCCTCTCGGTACTAATCCTGTTTTCTTTAAATTTATTTTTGGCGTGGGGCAGCAGGGATGACACGGAGATCACACGGCAGTCAGTACCCAGCCTCGCAGAGACGTTCTCTAGAGAGAATTCTTCTGGATCGTTTTGTTTTGTTGGAAGAAATTCCTGTTTCTACCATGTGTTCCGGAATGAGTAAGGCTGGAATCTCATCACCAGCAGATGAAAATACCCAGGTTAAGTTTGCTTTCAGTTGCTTGTGTCAGCGAGGTCTTAAGCAAAGGACATACAGGAGGAACTCTGAATCCGCAGTCTCTTTCCAAGAATGTGATTCTACTCTTTGTGGAGCCAAAGTCCATCTCGTGTGCATGGAATGCTATTGAATATACCTGATTTTACGACTAGTAAAACCTCACGTGGCAACAGCAGTTGAGCTCAGTCCCTGAGCTCTTGCCTTTTGTTTTACCCTTTCAAATCGTTTAGACAGACGTGGTGAATTATGGTCTGCACTCTGTATGAGCAGGCTTGTCACCTACCTCTAAACGTGGTAATACACCTGCCACCCCTGGGAGCACCATGGTTCCGCTCCTGGAACGTGCTGCCTTCCTGTCTGTGTGCGGATCCAGGCCAGCTGCCCTCAGTCCCTCTGTATTTCTCCCTCCGCAGCCTTTGGTAGCAGATTTCCCATCTCCAGAATTTGCCTCTGTGACGAAGGGCACATGGTGAAATTCTGCACATCTCTGCCTTGGGAGGTTGCTGAGCGTTTGGGGCATTCTGGGTGCATTGCCACAGCAGTACGAGAGTGAGAAAACCCAAATCCTGACATTAGGCAGGTTGGGGAAAGGCTTTAAATCCTCTTCTCGCGCATTCGCATGGCAAGCAAAACAGAGCTGGTGAGCAGCTGTGCTTGCAGGCATCAGCACCCAACCAAATAAATTCAGGTTTTTATGAGTTAAACATCAAAATAAAAAAGAAACTGCAGCATTTAAGTTGAGCATCTGATAATCCCCTGCTGTGGCAAATGTTGATTTAAATACAACAGAGTCTCTGCTGGCACAGGCTTGGTGGCACCAGAGCCATTTCCTTCACTATTGCTGCAGAGTTGGCCTAGGGGAAGAGACAGTTCTGGCTTCCAATCCCACAACAGATTCTCCCCATAGATATGTTTATTAATTGTGTGCAGGAGAGGCCTCATTTAGCTTGGAATGTATGCAGTGTGGAATAGTACAGGAA